ATCCTTCATTATGTATAAAATGATGGTAGTAACATAAAATTCTTTTATAAGGTATTACATGAGAAGACAAGCATTTCTAAATGTAGTTAAAATGATGCTAACATGGTTAAGAAGAAATTTACTATTTAAAATAAAACTTGGAAATGACATACATGGTACATAAAAATTAAAATAGAAACAAATTTATGACCCCATTGATTTTAAACTCATTAAATATAACAAAGTAGAAAAAAATAGCTAGATACATACACATTTTGCCAAAACATTTTTCCTGTAGGCTTTCACACTGTAAAAGAAGAATTTTGTTTAGGTTAAAAATTTATTAAACAGTCGAAAAGTATTTGATTTCTATACACAACTCTCCATTTTGGTTATTTTTTTTGTTTGTTTGTTTTTCAAGACATAGGGTTCCTTTGTGTGTCTCTGGCTGTCCTGGAACTTGCTTTGTAGATCCCATCTAGCCTCAAACTGTCTGCCTCTGCCTCCTCAGTGTTGCTATTAAAGGTATATATAGCCCCCCAAGTATTTTTAATAAAATACTTTCATGAAGTGTTCTTTAGACAAAATTGCTTTATGTAATTAGCTCAAATGTTCTTGTATTTATTTTCATATACTAATTTTAAGATGCAAAACATCCACTTTAATGTCATCATATCCATTGTTAAGAAAGGTCCAGGTTTGTGGTAGTTATGACTAGAGATATGAGCATTTGTGATTTTAATAAAAGAATTACATTATTCCAAGCTCAGCCTGGAAATACTCTGAATAGCACCTTTTAAATAAATTAAATCATCAAACTGCTTGACCTGACTGCAAGTGGATAGAGTGAATAGTAATGGGTTTATTAGTAAATGTAGATTTTACACAACCATTCTCAAAACAAGCTCCTGTTAATAAAGCCAACCATCAATTATATAACAGTATTACTACGACAGATGAACATTTATATTTTCAATATAATTTATGTGAAAATAATCATGTGCTAACTCCTCTATTTTTTTATTTTTAATATTTTTTTTGAGGATGCTGCCTGGAACTCTGCCTCATTTCTGGATTTTATTGAATACTGAGTAAGTGAAACAAAACAGTGTTCAAACTGAAATTCTTCCCATAATGGGCATACATTTTTATAACCTATAGAAAATTGATGGCTTTATTTCACCAGTACTGATGCATTAGGTTTAGGTTAAACTAAAATTAAACAGCAATTCCCAATTTGTCATAACTGAAGAGGTATTTCTAACTGCCAGGGTATTAAGATCCCTAACGGCTTTTT